CAGTCGATGTGTCTCTCTCATCGGTGTTTCTCTCTCTCCCTTTCTCCCCCTCCCACTCCATCTGAAGGTAAGTGGAATAATATCCTTGGGTGAGGATGCAAACAAAGGGCAGAGTATTGCTCAGATGGCTTCCGTCCTTTACGTGGAAGATGTAGCCACAGAGCGAGGCGCACTCGTGTGGGGTGCGAGTCTGAAACCTCGCAAACAAAGGATTAGAATCACCTCGTTCCTGACCTGATGAAAATTCTGTGACCTGTCCTTCCCGTTCTAAAAATTCTCAAATTGTTTCCAGAAGACACTAACCAGCATTTTTTTAAATAAATACCTGACTATAGGAGAAAACGTATGAGGAAAAACAAAACACCCTCATTCTGTGGCCTGACGCGAGAGGAGACGTGCAGACTAAACCCAGGTTAACGACGTTCACACAGACCGAACTCCCTTCCCACACAGGAGCCTCGAAGTCAGAGCCGCCATCCACGGCCACGGGTGTGGCTCGGCACAGCCAGCGCTCCGCTCTGACACTGGCCAGGGAGCGCGGAAGTCACCGCCTTGGATTAATTTCCCGTCAGTCGCTTTTCCTCTACGCCCTTTGCCCTTTCTGGGCGGTTCTGCCTCCAGCAAGGTAATCTCTGCTCTTTCCATCTCTTACAGAGAACTTGGATGTGGTCGGCTGCCTTCCTCATCCGATGTCACGTCTAAAAAATGACACCGAATAGGCTATTATGCATATTGAGGTACTTTTGTTCTTCAAACTCCATTAAGTTCTTATAAACCTCAATTAAGTAAAAGAACAGCTAATTAGAACAGTCTGTTTTCAATAGACTTCGAGCTTTGCAAGGGAGCTGAGTCTAAGACCTGAAGCATCATATTCTCTTTCCCCTGTGTCCAGTCCTCAGCATTCAAGATGCAACAGTAAATTTGTTCTTATCTAAGTAAATCAAACGCATCCTGCTGAGATTCACCGTTACATCACCAGGCCTCTGAGAGGCTGTTTATTCTGGAAACATCCTCTGTAGCTACAGAAAATCTAGAGCAGGCAAGAACATGGCTTGTATTCATGAAGATTTGAACTGGATCAAAACTTGCAAGTGAAATTTGTAAGGGGGAAAATAATCACAACCATTTCTGATCACAGATATTCATTTAAATAAAGTTCCAAATATTTATCTAATATCCACAGTTGATAAATTATCAATCATTTTATGAATAGTGGAAAACTACTAATAGAGATCATCACAGGTGTTTAGTGAATGCTTTCTGGAAAAACAAACAAACCCAAGTTCATACATATGTGACAGTGTAACTGAGGTCTAGACAGTATGGAAATAATATGATTTATAGACTTAATAAATGAATTTTGCAAAGTAGCAGGATACAAAATTAACGTCAAGGAATCGATGGCATTCTTATACATCAATGATGAACTCACAGAATGAGAAACTAAAAAAAAAAATCCCATTTACCATCGAGGCAAAAAAATTAAGATATCTAGAAATAAACTTAACCAAAGAAATAAAGGACCTATTCATACAAAATTACATGTTTTGAAAAAAGAAATAGAGGAAGATATAAAAAAGTGGAAGCACATACCTTGTTCATGGATTGGAGTAATTAACATCATTAAAATGTCCATACTACCCAAAGCAATCTATAGATTCGATTCAATCCCCATCAAAATACCAATGACATACTTCACAGAACTAGAACGAATACTTCAAAAGTTCATATGGAACCAAAAAAGACCTCAAATAGCCACAGCAATCTTGAAAAAGAAGAATAAAGTTGGAGGGATCACATTACCAGATTTCAGGTTATACTACAAAGCCACTGTAATGAAAACAGCCTGGTACTGGCACAAGAACAGGCAGATAGATCAATGGAACAGAACAGAGAACCTAGAAATGGACCCAAGGCAATATGCTCAATTAATATTTTACAAAGGTGGCAAGAGCATAGAGTGGAGTAAAGACAGCCTCTTTAATAAATGGTGTTGGGAAAATTGAACAGCTACATGCAAAAAAACGAAACTAGATCATCAATTTACACCATACACAAGAATAAACTCAAAATAGATAAAAGAATTAAATATGACTCATGAATCCATAAAAATCCTAGACGAAAATGTAGCAACAAAATTTTGGACATCATATGCAGCAGAATTTTCACTGATACATCACCTAAGGCAACAGAAACAAAGGAGAAAATGAACACACGGGACTATATCAAACGCAAAAGCTTCTGCACAGCAAAAGATACAATCATCAAAATGGAAAGGCAACCCACTGTATGGGAGAGCATAATTGCCAATGATATATCAGATAAGGGTTCATTTCCAATATATATAGAGTGCTCATACAACTCAAGAAAAAGAAGACAAAGAACCCAATTAAAAAATGGGCAGAGGAACTAAATAGACACCTCTCCAAACAGGTCATACAAATGGCTAAGAGACATATGAAGAAATACTCAACATCACTAATCATCAGAGAGATGCAAATTAAAACAACAATGAGGTATCACCTCACACCTGTCAGAATGGCCGCATCAACAAATCATCAAACAAGTTGGCGAGGGTGTGGAGAAAAGGGGAATCTAATACACTGCTGGTGGGAATGCAGACTGGTGCAGCCGCTATGGAAAACAATATGGTGTTACCTCAAAAAATTAAAAATTGAACTTCCATTTGACCCAGTGATCCCACTTCTAGGAATATACCCTAAGAAGCCTGAAACACCAATCAGAATGAACATATGTATCCCCATGTTCATAGCAGCACTGTTTACAGTAGCTAAGATCTAGAAACAGCCCAAGTGTCCATCAGTAGACAAATGGATAAAAAAAGCAGTGGTACATATACACAATAGAATACTATACAGCTGTAAGAAAGATCTCTTATCCTTTGAGACGACATGGAGGGACCTGGAAAGTATTATCCTAAGCGAAACAAGCGAAACAGAGAAAGACAAGTATCATATGATCTCACTTATTTGTGGAATACAATGAACATAACAGTCTGATGAATGGGGTAGTCCCAGAGACGTGGAAGTGGGGTACAGACTGACAATCCCCAGAAGAGGAGGTGGGAGAGAGTTAAACCACAGAACTTATATGCATGTATGTATGAACAATGGACATGGACAACAAAGCTGGGCACACGGCGGGGAGGGAAGGGAAGGGAGGAATCAGGGGGGGGGGGGGAGAAACATCTGTAACAAAATTTAATAAATTAATTTAAACAAAAAAGAAATAGTATGATTTACAGCCAACTTGTGCTAAGATAGTCCTCTAAGCAAAAATATGTATTTCAAAGGAAAGAAGTTGATGTCTATGTTGTATTGTATGATTAATTATATCACACAGACTTTTATTTTAGTGTGGGAGGGGGGTAAATTACTATGATTAAAGTTTTAAGCTTTCAAGTAAAGTTCAACTAAAGTTCAAACACGAGTCCTTGTTGGGGGCTGCGTGCTGACGGTCCCTACTGGCTTCTGCATCCGTCCATTCCGAAACACACACTGAATACCCATACACCCAACCTGGAGCCATAGAAGGGAGCAGCTAAGAAATGATTGCAGCTAAATTTGCTGAAATTTTGAAAACTGCCACGATCTGCTTTTCCAGCAGCATCCTAAGCACTCTCAGTCCATGACAGTCAATGTCCCTCCATGAGGCAGGGAGAGGCTTGGGTATGGGACCCGGCTCGTGCAGGCTGCAGGTCGTTGTGAGCTTCTGCTTCGACAATTAGAACGAAACATCTGGAACCGCAGAGCAATCAGCGGTGTGCTGCGCCCCCCGAATGACAGCGCTTGTTCGCTCTCCCCACATCTGGCGGGGTCCACTGGGAAGAATGAAACCAGATCACGGACGTGGTCTCTGAACACCGCCGCACGTCCACCCGCCTGAACTTCAGATGCGCCTGCGCTACGCGAAACACCAGGACACGAGCAGGACCGGAATCCAAACCAGAACCAAATAAAGCAAACAACACCCATGGGCATGGCCCCAGCGCCCACAGAATTCAGAGTCTGGAGGGGTGGACGTCGACCCTCAATTACAAAACACGAGGGTTACAGTCAATGAGGTAAGAACCAAAGGTGACGGGAGTCCAGAGGGCGATGACTGATCTGCGCGGGGGACGCATGCCCGGCTCGGAGGGAAGCCGACCTCCGGCAGGGCCTTGAGTAGGACCGCGGCGGGGTTTGCGAGGGAAGTGTTCCTTGATAAGAAAATGCCCACAGTCAGTGGGATGCAGCGCATGGGCGCGGTGGGGACGGTTCTGGTTTGGGTGCAAAGGCTAGAATGGAGGTCAGGCTGGGGAGGGTCCTGGAGCCCGTGGCAGGCTACCCTTTAGGCCAAGAACAGCCTGGCTGCTGGTAGGGAACCACCACGGTGGTAGAGAAGGAGTTTCCCTAAATTGAGGAGAGAAAAGAAAGGTCAAGGAGGAGGGTGGGCTCTTCTGAATGAGAAAAACTAATAAAAAAAAAATGGTCTAGAAATCAATCACCAAATAGTATATTAAATAACTGCAGAATAAAATACATTGACGTTCAGACAAACACTGCAAATGTATGTATTTTTCCTTCCTTCCTATTTCCGAAGGGCCAGATGACATATCTCGTGTGACTTGGTTACCAGCGGCTCAGCGTTACTTAGGTCTACTGTTCACGGGAATGCGTCATGGTAACAGCGAGGGCCCAGCGGGCCAATTCGACGATTGGAATTGATGATGACATGACTTAAGATTGATATGTTATCAAAGTAACTCTCCTAAATAACAAATTTTTAATGCAGTCAATGTAACCTTGAACCATGTACAAAAGAAAAAAAAAGAAGAAGCCATGTGGCCATAAAGATGCCATTCTGTATAAGCAGAAACACTCTAGAATCTCTCAAATATTTTCAAATGAAGCCTAAGAAAACTTCCACTGAAGTAAGGGCAATAGAAACCCCCAGGGCTTACCAAATAAATCTCATTTTTAGTCACCGGAGGTCCTTACCTGAGAGAAACCGCCTGCGGCCCGTAGATCTCTCTGACCGCTGACAGGTCAGCTTCGAGCTGGGGGTGCTTGTGCAGCTCCCCGTCATAGTTCACCTGCAGGAGAGGGACAGCTCAGAGGGACGCAGGGGAACAATAGAACGAACAGAACCAACCTACAAAGCATCTCGTGGCCAGGTTTGTACATGGGCATGTGCTTCTCCTTCATTCAACAACACAGAAAAGGCAGCGGTGTGACCACTTAAGTTCTTAGGTTCACATATGTGTGGTACAATTTATTGTGTTCAAAAGTCAAATTCGACTACTTTGATATGGAGAAAATGCAGATGTTGAAAGGGCTGGAGTAAGTGTCCGGCGGGTGATCAAAAAAACTCCTAGACGGCAGAAAAGCATTTATTCCCGCTCTGCAAGAATTAGCTGTGCAAACAAACATCAACACCAGACGAATCGCTTTTGCAACGTGAACGGGTTGTAATGGTCAAAGAACATTAGGGACAGTGTCTCACTGGAGAGGTGTGCCTGGAGGGAAGACGCACTTTTATTTGTGCCCATATCCCGGCTTCTAGCCTGTGCTGATTGACAACTTACTGGCTTTTCATTCTGAATCAACAAACTGACCTGCATGCTTTTGTGCAGTAATAACTCTGGCATTAAACCAACCTTCGTTATCATATGAGCATCCTATTGTTCTATCCCAGTTACAAAGCCTCGTGACGGGGGAGTTTACAGGAACAGAAGACACCTCCTATGGCCACATCCTCCAACAGATTGCTCAGTCCACGCTAACATCATCCCGGACAGCATCTCGGATTCCTTCACGTAGATGCCCATGTGGCTGTGCTATTTCCATGCCCATAAGTTATGATCTTTCTTCCCAACACTTTCTCAACAAATACTTTGTATCAGTGTAAGGGAAAAGGAAGACGATGCGTGCAGATAACAGGGTGCTCCATAACTAGGGCCCATTCGTATTTATTCAGATTCATCCTCCTGTATTTAAAACTGACAAGCCATGCTTTTGTTAGAATTGTCATCATTTCAATAGACTGCACCCAGCGAGCGCGAGAACCGGAAAAGTCGAAGGCATCATGAAATGCCGTGTGCAGAATCACTCTATGAAGCACACAACTTCGATGTCAGTGAATTATGACAAAGAACTGCAAAAGTAACCTTCATTTCTGAAAAAGCGTAGGATAGGAGAAACCAGTCAACTATACGGGTGTCCTAGTTAGTTACAGAACCCCAAGCAACACGCAGGTCTCTCGGGTCACACGCACAGACACACAAGGAACTGCTAGTTTGGAGAGCGGGGATTGGAGGACCTGGGGCCCTTACCTGTCCTCCATAATAAAATTCTTCAGAGTCATTGTCCCCTTCAGAATCTTCTTCCACTGTACTATTTTGTCTTGACTCCTTAAAATAATAGAGTAAGAAGACAATTTCAATGGTCAAACGGGTTCGCCTCCTTCTGGAAAGAAAGTAGCAAGTGGCCATAATAGGTGGGTCTTTGCATATCCCCTGGGATTTCTGTGGAAACATTCTTGGTGCAACGCAAACGAAAAACACAGCAGGTAGTATGAGACGGTCCGGGAGTTCATTAAGCTCTATGCACATATTGTGTGAACGTCTACTTCCCTTATCCTGAGTTGTACAATTTAATAGCATAGATATAGATATAGATATAGATATAGACATAGACATAGACATAGACATAGACATAGATATAGATATAGATATGTGTATATATACACATATACATATATAAATATAGATATGTAATTACAACTTTAAATTTGTTCTGATAAAACATCCCACAAGTTCATACTGATTCAACTTTTTAAAATTTTATTTTTCAATTACAGTTTATATTCAACATTATTTTCTATTGCTCTCAGATGTACTGATTCAACTTTTTATTAAGAAGTTCCTCGGCATTATTTATCACGGGCGGTTCTCACTTCCACTGCCAACTCTGCACAATGGTATGAAAGAAAAGACACTTTAATTTCAACAATAAAAAAATCAAATTATGAAAATAAATGTGAATCACATTATAAGATACTTTCAGAATACAGAAATTGCTTTCATATTCAAAAGAATATTTAATTAAATATGCTTGAACTTGAAGTTCGAGTTCTCATGAACTGAACCACATCCGGTCTGAGTCTAAAGTACAAACAATGAAAATGCACCTGAATGAACTCTTGGTTACTGTTAGTTACCGTCTCTATACCCAGCTCGGTTAAAATAACTAGGAGAAAGGTAGACTTTAGACACAAGAGTCTATTAACCCAGTGTTTTATAATCATCCCTAGATTTCTAGGCCAAATTTCACATTTTTAAGAAGAATGAAAACCTGAGAAAGGGAATTTGGGTTTTGGAAAATGTAACAGTTTTTGGCGTCAGCAACAGTGTTGCTAAAGCAGCGGAGCAGGGTGTTCCGAGCGGATGAAGACACTGGAATGAGCGGCTCAACATCAGGAGCCTTGTATTGAGTGTACAGTTTTAAAAGTCAAGAACTGACGGCTCCGTTGCCCTCGTATGATTTAATGTCTCAGTATTTATTTATAGCTTCAAGTAAAATGATCAAAGATGAGGAAAGCAGATGAGTTTGTTGCTACTGCTGCTGACTTAATACCTGACAGTAACAATAAGACTATACCCACAGTCTGAGCTACTTTAGCTAAAGTGATCATCTTTCACAAATGAAATTTTAAGGGTTCTATCAAAACCAGTTACAGCTGCCCTGGACAGTGTGGCTCTGTGGTTAGAGTGTCGACCAGCACACTAGGGGGTTTTTGTTCAATTCTTGGTCAAGGGCATGCCCCTAGTCGTGGTGCATGTGGGAGGCAACCAATCGATGCATCTCTCACGTGACCTTTCGCTCTGTCTTCCCTCCCTCCCTCCTTTCACTGTCTCTAAAAATCAGTGGGAAAATCTTCGGGTGAGGATTAACAACAACAAAAACTAGGTAGAACCACATCTAGTTCTTGTAACTATAAGTCACAAAAGTGTTCCTCAGTCAACTACGTTATTTGACGAAAATACAGAGAATAGGGTAGGTTTCGTAGGCACTTTATTCAGACTTAGGCAGGCGTTCTACTGTTGAAAGGGAGCTTCCTTCTCGGAGCTAATGTTAGGCCTACTGCTTTCCCGGCAACGAGTCCCTAAGACCCGGGTTCAAGCTTTGTTCTCTCCAGGCAATCTTAACCTGAACAGCAATGATGGTATCGACTGCAAACACACAGTGAATTGAAAATACAGACACTGTTTGAAAGAAATATGATTTACATACCTCCCCATTTTCCTTCTGTAGTTTGGATTTTATGGATAAGCAACAGTTAATGTCATTTGTCTTTCTTAACTCTGAAAGTTATAAATTAAAAAATAATTTTAGTTTTCAGCATACTATTAACACACATTCATAAGTTGCAGCATAAAAACACTTTTTAGGTGATCCTCTCATTTGCAAGAAAATGAAGGGATATTCTGAAATTATATTATGTTGGGGGATTACATAATATGCAAGCTATTCTGATTTTTCATTGCTCATAAAAACATGGTCAAACTAAAGTGCCATTCTACACATTCTTTCAGCTCTCATTATATATTTCATTATATATTTCAATGCCTAGAGTATGCTTTTTAAATATTCCTGTTTGCCTAGCAGTGTAATTATGTATTTTACAAGAGCAAATATCAACATAATACATTTAAACAAGACTTTTTTAAAGCACTATAAATTTATGCACTTAAACTATCAAAAACAAATGAATGCACTTGCAATAGAAAATTTGTATGGAGAACCAGATTTCTAGATGCTAAGGATTAATTATCAGTTATATGGGCTAAAGGAAACCAAAACACAAAGCTACCTACCATCAAAAAAGTATTAGCCTAGAACAAACAATAGTGTATTCCTATTACCTGTGGCTATTCGATGAAAAATTACTGGAATTGGCTCTGTGGTCACTAATACATCTTCATCATTTTCTGAACTTGACACATATGTATTATCTGCAAAACAATATAGACAATTAAAGACACAGTACCTTGAAAAAGTACATCCTTTTTAAAAATATAGTTACATCCATATCACTTCTAACACTCATGAAGCACACACTGTTCTCACACGGGTCAGGAAATAGTGAAGGAAATTGAAGATTTATGTGTGAAATCATTGTAAATAGCATCTTTAAAGGTGTTTGCATCTCCTAGAGAAACAGGCTCTGGGACAGACCCTATCCACATATACCTCAAGTGTCTCATATGTGGCACCGAATCATCTGGATGCAACTGGTTGCCCCGCTCACTGAACAGGGTCCTTGCAGGTCATTCTCTAGGACAGGAAGCCGGGCTCCCAAGTGGAGGGAGAACACGCTGGGGGGACCAGGTGCAAAAGGAAGACTCCATATCCCGCCCCTAAGGAATCTGAGCCAAAACCTTTGTTGTAAATCATATCTTTCACATGATGCTAATATGTATTTTGCTTTTGTTTCTTTTTTAGAATATATTTTCATCTTTATTTTTGAAAGTATTATAGATCTCTCCCCCCACTGACACCCTTCCTACCCCCCCCCCCCTTCTTTCTCAGCACTGCAGGGTGTCCATTGGCTGTGCTTATATGCACATAAATTCTTTGGTTTATCTCTTCCCTCCACCCCCCCCCCTCTGAGGTTTTTCAGCCTGTTTCCTACTTCCATGTCTCTGGATCTATTTTATTCATCAGTTTATTTTGTTCATTAGAGTCCACAAATAAGTGAGATCATGTGGTATGTCTTTCTTTGACTGGCTGATGTCATCACTCAGCATAATACTCTCCAGATCCCTCCATGTCATCTCAAATGGTAAGAGAGCTTTCTTTCTTACAGCTGCATAGTATTCCATTGTGTACACGTACCACAGCTTTCCCCCCCGCTTTACCTTCATATTATTTTGTACTGGTTTCAGGTGTACAGCATAGTGGTTAGACAATCATATACTTGACATAGTATGTTTTTAAATTGACATGAAGTGTCACAATTCTTCTTCCACAAATTAACTTTAAATAATAGCATGCAAGTGAAATGCATAGAACATTGGATTATTCTATAGATTCTTTGTTTCTTATGCACTTTTTGTTTCCTCTGGGGGGAAAATAACTTTGTCACTGTAGGACTTTGCCCTGATAAATACTGGTCTGCCAGTCTGTGACAGAACACAGAGCTCCGTGGCCTGCTTGGCTGGCCGGCTGGCGGCCACGGGGCATCTGCGAGGCGGCTCTTCCGCAAACCCCACCAATTCATCAGTAACGGTCCACAGTCCACCGAATGACGCACACAACAGAGACGTGGAAAACCAGAAGTACGAACAGCCCTGACACGCGGTGGAGGCCTGGATCAGTTTCTGCTGGGAAAGTGTTCCGACGACCGGATACACAATCAAAGGTGTCGAGAAACGTTTTCACAACACTGTGTCCGTACACTGAGGAGATGCATTTTAACTGGCGTGTCTGCAAGTCATCGCTTTGTTTCCGAAGAAACATCTGTGCTGTTTTTAGACCCCAAGGAGTGAGGCGAGACCACGACAGGTACTGGCAGCCCAGCCCACGGAAGAACAGACACGAGGCTGGATGCGTTGTTCTGGCGAGAGGAGACCGCGTGGGTTAGACCCGCCAGCAAACAGGAGTCCCTGGGATTTATGACCAAGTCGGCCTTGTTTCATTTTCAAGGAGCACGGAGGAGGGTGTGAGAGTTTTGTGTTTAACAAGTGGGAACACGGATTAAGAAACAGATTCGACACAGCTTTGGTTCAGTTGTCTCCTCATTAGCTGAGACTGCTCAGAGCCCCGCAGGTTCAGGTAATGGTTCAGAACACCCTCTTTCCAGCCGTTTCCAAGGTCTCAGCCCTCACGCAGCCGTGCGGACGCGGAGCTGTCTGCCCAGAGTCGACTGGATAGGTCTGCCCTGTGCACGGTGGGGTCCTTGGAGCTCACTGTGGAGGGCGTGAGAGGAAGCAGGAAAAGCAACAAGTGACATGTCTGCAGTAGCCTGAGGGGAGCGACAGCGGAGCCGTGACGTGGACACGGAGACCTGCAGACCTCGGTGCCGTGGAGGGGGGACCTGCAGACCTCGGTGTCCTGGGGGGGGCGGGCTGCAGACCTCGGTGCCGTGGAGGGGGGACCTGCAGAC